ATGTTTCTTCTATCTCATAAATATTCCAAGAATCAAATGAAAATTGTCATCTACAGCAAGGACAATTTGCTTACAAAATGACTTGCCTGATATTGTGTAGACATGTTATGACATTATTTGAAGTCCATTGAAGTGTAAGTTTTTGAGGAAAAGAGAAATACTAAGACAACTGAATTTTTGGATCCAAGATTTTGGAATTTACTAGAAGTGTATCTGGGTGGGACATGTTCTTACGAATGTCATATTTTAGCCCAAGAGAGACCCACTTTAGTAGGAGTCATTGGCTGAAAATGCCTGTTGAGGTTAATTGGCTTCCGTAGATGGGTCGAAATCATCGTCTGTCTGAATGGGTAGTTTGCTTAAACTCGTGCCTATTTAACGATTTGGCGCATGCGGAAAGACTGTGATATTCGTAATGGGCATTTTAGCTAATCCCATCAGATCACTTTCTGCCAGTTTTGACTTTAGCCCATGTCTTGTCCACCTACCGAACCCTACAGTAAGTCTGTGTTGAGCTATACGGATGTTTTAATCAGCTTGTCGGATAACTCCACCAGATAAATCTCTTGCGATTTTCTTCTGGAATTCCATAACACAGCTGTCGAAGGAGCTCTTCTTTGTTTCAAAACCTGCACTTCAGTAGTTTCTTATTAATTTGAGTCATGACTATCTTTTGGAGCAAGATTTACTCTTCCCTATAATATGTAAACCCATTCAAAATTTTGGATTTCTTCTGATCCTTCATATGTTTTGAAAAAAACCGCACTTTATTCAGTCAATAAAAGGTTTGCTGACGTTTCTGCATCAATCCTGGGAATTTAAGGGATAAGAACTCAAATAGTCGATGAAAGAAACCAATAATCTTAGTATCCCATCTGGTCGGGACAGTTGTAGAAAACAATATCTGTCGTCATACACTGGAGCGTGCGTTTCGTCACTCAAAACCCAAGAAAAACTTTTTTAGTCGCTATCAGCGCGGTCAGGATCGGCTGTGGATGCCTTTGGACAGTCAGTAAACTGGGATTCCGTGCCATCAGCGCCTGCAAAAGCCGAAGATCCATTCGACATACAGTGGAGCCGGCTTGCTGCAAGTACGGGAATGGCATCCAATCCGTTTCTCACGGAAGTTCCACGGGAGCTTAGGATTTAATAAAACTGATTGATACTACAATCAACTACTGAGAGTTCTATTGCTATTGTATCTTGGAGTGCACCATTCTATGACATATCCAATTTGCGATTATATCTTACAATTTGTCTATAATAATAGTAATGTGGCTTACAGTTTTCTGCTGATTTCACGTGTCACTGAGCTCATTCTTAATGCGCGTTCCGTCTTGTTTCATATTGTAATGTAATAAGTTTTTTCGGAAAAATTTCAGAAGTCTTACTTTGTCTTTTTGCCCATTACCCGCAGATTCGTTTTTTGTTGAGCATTCATCTACTTTGTGTTGTATAGGTAACCACAGTCACTGTTATTTGTATTGTGATGCTATCACTGATATCTTGGTTGCCTTAGCAGTTCCCATCCATCGGCACGGCACCTAGCGCCGTGCTTAGTGTCGAGTTCTCTACCGGTAAAACCATGAACGAACGGCTTCGCCGCGAACTGTGTTGCAGTGTTGTCAATGCATTGTGACCGTTATCTCCTCGAAAATTCTCAATAAATCACACCAATCTTTATTTAATAAGTAGTAATTGTATAACTGTCATTTCGCGCGATATGTGATAGCTTCATCAATGAATTCCCCTGCAATGATGCGTTTGTTTATCGAGAGTCGATAATGTTTAGTTTATATGAAATGTGAGAAGTGGTATCGAAATGTGGTTAGTTGGAGTTATGCCGCAGCTTGGTCTGGCAGGTAGAGTTTTTCTTTGAATTTTCATCATATTTTAAAATCGGCATCATAGATGTGTTATTTAACCGAACTATCATTATGTGTCGAACAATTTCATGTAAAGTTCTAAGAATTTCACCAAATTCTGCATTTTGAGTGAATTAACACTTTGAGACAACTTCTTAACGCTCATAATGATTTAGAGTGCTTTCATCAATTTGTAGTCGTTCCGTTCTAGGGAAATAAGTTGGCTACATCACTATTGTTTTGTGCTGGTATATCCATCTTCATCGAGTATTTTGAATGTATAAAAACAGTTAGGGTAGGAATTTGCTTGCTTTTAATAACCGCTCCTATTTTCCAAGAGGCTAAACTGACCTGACAGTAAAACAATAAAAACCAAAATTTCTCTTCAAATTCAATGCTAAGGGTTCTTTCGAAGGGCATGAAGAATCTTGCACTATACAACCATTTTACCCTACGATTGTTGAAAATATTCACTTAAGCACCT